TTGGCCGGGAGAGGCCACTGCACTCCAGTCTGGGTGACAGAGTGAGACTCCAACTCAAAAAAAAAAAAAAAAGATTAATTCAAGTATCCATGGACAGACAAATGGATAAACAAAATGTGGTATATACGTGCAATGGGATATTAGTCAACCTTAAAGAGGCAGAAAATTCATACACACTACCACATTGATGGACCTCAAAAACATTTATGCTAAATAAAATAAGCCAGACACAAAGAACAAATAGCATATCATTCCATTTATACACAATATCTATAATAGGTAAATTCATAGAGACAGAAAGTAGATGAGAGGTTTCCAAGGGTGGAGGGGGTTCAAGAATGGGAAGAACTGCTTAATGGGTACAGAGTTTCTGTTTGAGATGAAGAAAAAGTTCTGGAAACAGACAGCGATGATGGTGTACAACATTGTGAATGTATTCAATGCTACCGAATCGTAGGCTGAAGAATGGTGAAAATGTACCTGCATAATGAACATTTGTATATCTAACTCTGAATTGTACCCCACATCTTTAAAATAAAGAAAAAAAAAGAACGGCGAAAATGGTAAACTTTATATTGCTTATATTTTACCACAAGAAATTTTTTCAAAAAAAAAAATCATATGGAGAGCAAAATACTAAATATTTAAAACAAATACAGAATAAATACACAATGTAATGTGTGCATATGTGCATAGATAACCAGGTAATATAAATATATATAACCATATATAGCAAAGTAAGAAACGCCAAAATATGAAAAGTAGTGGGCTGGGCACGGTGGTTCACACCCATAATCCTAGTACTTTGGGAGGCTGAGGTGAGAGGATCGTCTGAGGTCACAAGATTGGAGACCCGCCTGGGCAACTTGGCAAGACTTCATCTCTACAATAAATAAAAAAATTAGCTGGGCTCGGTGGCTCAGCCTGTAATCCCGTGCCTTGGGAGGCTAAGGTGAGTGAATTGCCTGAGCCCACGGGTTCAAGACCCACCTGGGCAACTTGGCGAGACCTCATCTCTACAATCCATCAAAAAATTAGCCGGGCGTGGTCACGCACACCTGTAGTTCCAGCTACTTGGAAGACTGAGACAGAAGGATCGCCGGAGCCCAGCAGGTCGAGGCTGCGGTGGCCGGGAGCGGCCACTGCACTCCAGTCTGGGCGATGGAGCGAGACTGCAACTCAAAAAAAATAAAAATAAAAATAAAAAATTAGCCGGGTGTGGTGGTGCACATCTGTAGTTCCAGCTACTTGGAAGGCTGCAGCGGAAGGATCACCTGAGCCCCGCAAGTGGATGCTGCGGTGACAGTGAGCATGCCATTGCACTCCAGCCTGGGTAACAATGAGATTCCAACACACACACAAAAAAAAAAAGGAAAAAGAAAAGTAGTAATTGCTAAGTTACAAAAGTATGGGTGATTGTCTTTTTTTTTTTTTTTTTTTTT